GCATACTGTTGTATCTCCCCGGATATTAGGCCTTTTTGTCCAGTGTGTCATACAGCAATCTATAGCAATGGCCCAAACAAGCAAACACCTTGACCTTGATTTGTGACCTTGACCTTAGAGTTGTGGGGATAAAAATATGAATGCAACATGCAATCTAATGGTGGTACAAATGTATATCAAACTTCATTAAGTTTTCTGAAGCGGATCAGAAGTTATGGGTGGGACAAGACAAGTCTTTGTCCATTTATGTACAAAGACTTTACTATGATACTTCCCACCTCTGACAGGTGTTTAAAAATTCACTGAAAGGGCCCCTGATGGTCCTAGGTGAGCTTCATGGCTGCCATTTTACTAGGTGCTAAGTGTAACACTCTGGACTCTATAGCATTTGAGCAGTAAGATAAGTTATGTAGCTTAGTGTACTAATGTACAATATTTAAGACAATGTGCTATTAATATTGATGCCTTTTTTCAGTTAGTTATAATGTATTTAAAGTACTTTATAGTGTTATGGGGCAGCTGCAGCTGAGTGATTAGATCAGTCGTCCTCCAGTGGGAGAGTTGGGGGTTTGATTCCACCAGCAGTCACATGCGTGTCCCTGGGCAAGACACTGAACCCCTCATTGTCTTCGATGTGTGTCCCATCGGTGTATGAATGTGATCTGAAGCGAGAGATTAGTCTCTACAGATTCAGGTTAGCTTTGTAGAGAGCTGTATGAATGTGTGTGTGGAGGTAAATGAGGGCACAGATTGTGTTGTAGAGAGATTTGAATGTCGATTAGATAGAAAGGTGCTATATAAGTACAGTCCATTACCATTATAGCATTTAGTACAGTATATAAAAGTACTTTGCTTTACGCTAGCAGTCTAGTCTAGATAGAGTGATAACCTCCAATATAATAATGGAATTATTACAATATTTATTTCATTATAACAAAACAAACAAATGATCATTATGCTTAATGGAACATTGTAGCACTTTACATTGTTTCTGACAAGCCTGCAAGCTTTAACAAAGGGCAGGTTTACAATACATCATGACAGTAGACTCATAAATAACTCATTTTTTTAATGTTATTGGTGCTTAGCGTATTTTTAGTTGATGTTTTTCTTAGTTCATAGTCTTTGTTCATATTTTAGATCTTATATCTGTTTTTCTTTTACATTTTATTGCTGGATGTAACTGGGACCCTGTGTACATACTTTCATTCCACCACATGTGCTGCAAATGACAATAAAGAATCTCCGAATCTCTGTATTAAAGCAAGTTTAGATAGCATAATTGTATTCATATTTATTTTTATCAAGGAGTTTTTGACCGTTCAGTGCAGGTATTTATACTTTTTCACGAGTGTGTCTCCCTGTTTGTACACTAAAAATCTGTCTCACTTGACTCTGAAATGTTAAAAAAGTGCTGAAACTGAGTAAACTGATAGTTTTACGTAATTAAACATGCCTTTGGGAGGTATACATTTATCCTAATGGTGGATAATTTATTGCTCAAAAATATATTTTTGGGTTAATGAACTTTATTCTGACGGCACATGCACACACAACGGACAAGACAGGCAAAACTGAAAAGGTCACATTTTCAATGATTTATGAGCTAATGTGGCATATTGTTAACTTATGAAATGTAACCCCACATTCTTTCAAGTGCAGGTTCTGATAGCTACAGCAAATGATGACAAAACATGAAGCTTCTTGGATAAATGTAGGTTTGTACTCAGATTTTTCAGATCTGCTGCCATTCTGGCAGTAATTAAGAATGTGAGAATGTAGCACCTACCAAGATGGCAGCCAAAATTAGCGTAGACTGTGCTGTGGTTTGCCATTCCGGTGTGTTTATTGTTCAGTGCTCTGTTTCACCTTCTCCCTACTCTCACTGCTGATCAGTGCTGCCTACAAACATGAACAAAAACTCTTAAAAAACAAAAAAATCAATTGAAGCCCTAAAACGGAGGTTTAGACACAGAGAGGGGGTTTATTTAGTCAAAACACCTCTTGTCACAACTACATAAATCCCTTTCAGTCTCAGTAAGTGACAGATGTGTCAGCTTGTCAGCTTTAGTCAACTGGTTTTGTGTGCTTTGATCTTCCTCCTCTGTGTTTCTTTTTACCTGCATCACATGCAGCTGCATGGTCGGGAAAACACCCTGATCTCTGGAATCGTGGCGCATGACACGGAGAAAACAAGTCGCGGCGTCACTTGTGTCGCTCTGAGGGGAGAACAAACTGGGATGAGCAGAGAAGAAGCGCCGCTGGCTGAGCTTACAGTCGATAACTGCAGGAGCACATGCACGCAGATGCACACAAACAATGCAGCTGCAGAGGCTTTCACAGTTAGTGCAGGCAGAAAACATTAGCACACTGTTAATGAAACTAATGAGCAGAACCTGCAAAATGATGTGATTATTGTCTTTAGTTTGTTATAAACTCTGATGGTCTCACCGTTGTCTTGTAAACTTTTCCTTTGACCTTTGCTAACACCCTTTTGTCACAAATCACTCCTGAATCTTTTCTCCATCCACTCCATCCTGCCTGTACTCTCTGTTTCACCTCTTTACCACACTCTCCATTTTCCTGGCGAGTGGACTCCAAGTACCATGTTTTCTGGCGTACAAGTCACAGATTTTTGCACAAATTTGCAAGGCCTGCGACTTACACACTGAAGCGACTAATACACATTTTCCCCATATTTATAACCCAACTTTTGGCTGAGATCTGACAATTTCATTCATTCTGACATGGAAAATATTGAACACTACCATTTTCAGCCACTAGAGGGCCCTTGACTAATATGGAAAGCCAAGTGTCTCATTAATAGTTAAAAGTGGCTGTTAATGAGACACTTTGCTTGCCATACCAAGCCACCTTCATCTCGCTCTGGAACTCCTGGAACAAACGTCAAATCAGCTGCATTTAACTGCGCCGTCCAGGCTAAATGCAGCTGATTTGACCATTAAAGTGCATTAATTAAGGGAAAGTTCAACTGAGACACACCTTTGCTGTAATGCTGAGCAAACATATAATTGTTTTAGTTGGTTATCTTGTTAAATTTCGAAGAAATGCACAGCAAGTCCTCCCTCTGCGCGCTCCAGCAGCCGCCATTTTGGCAACCAATGGATTTTTGGTACATCGGCCCATGTTTCCGGTTGATCAGCACTGACGCATAATAGATGCAACTTATACGCCGGAGCAACTTGTACGGTGGAAAATACGGTACTTGAAGTCCTGCACCTTTGTGGCCTCTGCTCCTTGTAGCCTCACTGCTCCATCGGCCTCCCTCTCATTCACACATGTACTCTGTCTTACTACGGCTGACTTTCATTCCTCTTTTCTGATACAATTGTCATGTTTTGTACAAATGGGTGAATATGAAAACCACCAACAACAACAACAAAAAAAGATAAAAATGTTAATGAAGACCAGGAAAGACTGGTCTTAAACTTCCAATATCAGGTTTGTTGGATTCCACAGGACTTAACCCCTGCAAACACTCAAGACTTCTGTGTAAAGTCGTCTCACAGACCTTTAATACTTTGCTAAAGGACGAAGAATCAATTAAAGCTTGTTGATGTGTTCATGAATCAATTCAGTTTCAATTCAGTTCATTTATATAGCGCCACGTCACAACAGAAGTCACCTCAGAGCACTGTACAAAAACATTCACGTACATTTAAAACAGCCAATGGGTAAAAGTAAAAGGAAGAAGCAGATTGAGCTAAATTTTCACTTTGTCACAGTCTCTCATCCCGAGCAAGCACAAAGGAGACAGTGGAAAGGAAAAACTCCCTTTCAACAGGAAGAAACCTCCAGCCGAACCAGGCTCGGGACGAGCAGCCATCTGCTTCGACCGGCTGGGTTTGAGAGGACAGGAAGGAGAGACAAACACAGAACGGGAGGTCCAGAATGGAGACGAGCAGATGAGCAGGTTTTTCTATAACAGACAAAAAAAAAAAACACGTTAAGGATAGAAATAATTACAAACAGGTAGCGTAGAGCAAGTAAAGACAGCAGCAGAGAGAGGAAATGTAGTAAATTTGTCCTCCAGTGGTATAAGCCTATAGCAACATAACTAAGGGATAGCTCAGGAAACCAAGCCAACCCTAACTATAGGATTCATCAAGAAGGAAAGACTTGAGCCTCATCGTAAAACTGGACAACGTGTCAACCTCATGGACAGAAACTGGAAGTTGGTTCCACAAGAGAGGAGCCTGATAACTGAAAGATCTTCCTCCCATTCTACTTTTGGAAACTCTAGGAACCACAAGTAAACCTTCAGTCTGACAGCGAAGTGCTCTGTTAGGAAAATATGGAACAACAAGATCTGTATTCATTCTTCATTGTTTCATCTGCTGGTCCAGGAGGTCTGAAGCAGCAACGACGCTGGAGCTAAGAACAAACTTCCTGCATGCTTTTCATGCTGTTGGTCTCTGACTTGAAATAACGTCTGTGTTAAGAAGGAAGGGGGAAAAAGCAATTTTGCTCTGCCATTCGGAGATTAGATGTGCAGTGACTCAGATACAAAGTATCTGGGGGAGTGTGTGATGGGTTGTGTTGGAGAAAGAGTAATAGGAAGGTGCGTCGCCACAAGAATACATGTGAGATTGTGAGTGAATGCTGCATGAACAGAGGAGAAACAAGTGGCTGTGTAGGACTTTTATTTTGAAAAATATGACAGCTAAATTATGTCACAGATGTGACATTTATTTAGTCTCATTGCAACAAAAATGCCCCAAACTTTATAATTTTTGAAACACAATTATATTAAAGTAATGATGAACCACTTCTGTACTCATTTTAAAACTGGTAATCCTCTCATGTGATGCTGTTGTGTCTTTATTTTTATTTCAAGCTCTCCATCCATGAAGTGGAGGACAATCCATCTGGTCATCTTCTGGTCATGAAAGGTGCACCAGAGAGAATCTTGGACAGGTTTGTTTCTCAACAATTAATTGATTATCCACCTCAGAGTGAAAAAGCACCAAAAATCCCACAGTTTGCACTTTCCATTTCTGTTACACAGAGTTTATAGTTGTTTTGCTCAAACTTTGAAGACAATGTTAAACACAATATTGCAAGATTTTGCAGGATGTATTAGTGCATTAAGTATGTGTTGAATATCACTCTCATGTACTACCACAACAAGTTTTAACTCAATAGCTGGTAAATTGGCTCGGTTAACCCCATTTTTGTGCTGCCTAAATTAGGTTAGCTGTGGTAGCCATATTAAATTGAATTAACTCCGAAGATTAATTAGTTGTAAACATGTAATTACTAAATAAGTTCTGAATGTTTCATTAAAATCTGTTTTATAGTTCAAGAGATATTTTGCTAACAGACAAACTGAGTTAACAGTCTCAAAGTAGTTTGTGTTGCCACTCTATTGAGCTGTGTGACACATTCCTTCATCAACATGAACACCCCCCCCCCCCCCCCCCCCACACACACACACACACACACACACACACACACAAACAGACTGTGTGGTTTATTTAGATGTAATCTCACACACACCATGCGGCTCCTGTAAAGTGTCCCCGCAGCAACAGATGGATATTAATCTGCTGGTGGAAATAGTCTGCAGCAAATGCGCCAAGCTGAGTTAAAATAAAAAAAAAACCTCTCCGGCTCCGGTAATTTAAACACAACTGAGGAGTTTCAGGAGTGAACCGGATCACGATTTAAACATACAATCTGCCTCCACAAACAAGAAAGATGGCGTCGGCTCCTTCATGAAACAAGTTGAGCTTTTAGCTCGTTTAAAAACGTCTCAGTAACGGCCTAGCATACTTTTATGAACGCATGTCACTCGCATGAGCATTTGTGCTGCAGTTTTTAGATCATCGTTTAATGAGAAACGATGGAAATAAAACCAGATTGGTACAATTTTAAAAGTGTTATATGCTTACAATATCTGTGTGGTCTGGTCTGGTCTGTTAGCGCTTGGAGAACGTGGTAACAACTCTCAGCTACTGCCACACCAAAATTTGGACCAATATGTGCAAAGAAATATTGTGCAGATTAAGGTGGATTAGCTGTGGCGGCCATCTTACATGGGGTAGGCAGGTGTAGATAGTTTTATTAAAATTTGCTCAGTGGTTCATGAGAGGGTCTTTTTTTTAGCTAAGGCCGCAAAACAAACATTATCATGGCTTCACTGTCAGCAATAGCCAATAATAAAACTTACATCGCTGCAAGTTTACCTTATTTTTCTTTTTTTTTTTTTTAAACCTCATTGATATAAAAAAAAAAAAAATAAAACTAGAATGTTTAAGCAACTTAAAATCTATGATGGATGCACAGATTATCATGTCTGAAAAAAATCGGATACTTTTTAATTTGCCAGAATGTCTACTCTGCACACAGCAAATTCATTATTGCCCACCAAAGAAGGCAATAATATTTGTGCACATATCTGTGCATGTGTTTGTTAGCAAAATATTGCATGAACTAGTAGATGAATTCAAATTAAACGTGCAGAAAGTAATCAATATATACCTCTACAACGGATTAACGTTTGAAGTCAATCCAATTCAATATGGCCGCCATGCAGCTGATTGACCAACATAAAAATGGCCATAATTTGGTCAATTTTACAGCTATTGAGGTATAATTTGGTGTGGTAGTAGCTGAGTATCATCCTAAACTACGATTTTAAGTACAACCAAATCAATCAAAATCTGACATTTCTGCAAAAGACCTTGCATAGAAAAGCATTTAAAGATGGATGGATCATAGATCATACATAACATCACGTACGTTTTATCAAAATGACAAACATTTTGTTTTATTAAATCTTAAAATAATATCAGTGTAACAGCTGACATGCGTTTCTTCAAGGAATGCCAGGTCTGTAATAGTAAATATTAGTAACATTATTATTATAAAATATGTTGCAGCTATTTCGTTCGGTTAGATGACATCCAATAACTGCTGGTTCAGACAGGTGTTGTAGGCAGAGAGTCAGTAATCATATTAAATGTTTCAGGTGCAGCACCATAATGATGCACGGTCAGGAGGAACCGCTTGATGAAAACTGGAGAGAAGCCTTCCAGAATGCCTACATGGACCTGGGTGGACTGGGCGAACGAGTACTGGGTGAGTGTGTGTGGTGGGACGTACTCTGAGCTGTGTGTGTGTGTGTGTGTGTGCGTGTCTGGGAGAAGGCGGGGAGGAGCAGCAGTTGGACGCAGCACTTACTTTTTATTGTCTTCTTGGTAAACAGAGCAGTTTGCTGAAAATGTTCCCATAAAAGTGCAGAACGCTCGCGTTGCAGCAGGAAGGAAAAAAGCTGCTTCAGTCGAGCACGGAGAGGCAGCAGGAGGCGTAGATCAAATCAAAGGCCTCGAATGACTCTCAACTACTACCACACCAAAATTTAGCTCAGTAGCTGTAAAATTAATTGGATCATCACCTCATTTATGTTGGCAAGTGTCAATTAGCTGTGGCGGCCATTTTAATTTGGACTGACTCCGAAAGTTAATCCACTGTAGACGTATGTTTCATGAGATATTCATCCAACGACTGTTTCCTGGATGTTTCATTCAAATTTAGCCAGAAGTTCATGATATATTTTGCTAACAGCCACATAAACATGCACAGATTTAGGCAAAACCTTATCATCCGCCTTCGCATGTTGTCCAGCAGTCGATTTGTCCTGTTGTGTTGGAAAAACATTCAGCTGAAAATAGAACTGTGTAAGCCAATCCAGGTCAAAATCTCAGCTAAAAGACAACAAAATACAATAAAATGATGTTTTTGCTTTTGTGAAATGTCACCTTTTGGGGTAAGAAGTGATTACCTGAACCATCTTCTGTTCTGACTCACTAAATGTCACCATCTTGACAACGGAGAGGAAAAACTGGCGTATATTTTGAAAAGTGCCAAAGGTAATAATTATGCGCTGTCCTGGTTTTGTTGGAGTCACAGCATCAGATGAGTGGAGTGGTGCCACTTCAGGACTGAAGCTCGTGTAAATTATTGTGTCTCTGTGATGAATTATGTGTTTAAAGACAAAAGAGATGTTGTTTTGTCCACTTTTAGCTCAAGTCTGGGATTCATCAAAAGCATTTTGTTTTTCTTAGTGGAAAAAAAAATCAAATATTTGTGAGAAAAATAATTTTTTACTCCAAACAGCCAGTCCTAATTTACAACTAACTGATTTTCCGTGTATCCAACAAGTATTAGTTATACAGTAAGCAGTAAAAAATATTCAGTTTTTATTATTAATACTGTGATGTATTTATTTCATATGTATCACCTGCCATAGGAAGCCGTGTGTGTATTTTTTGTCTGTTACCAAAATATCTCAACTGATTACATTTTGGAAACAATTCATTTCAAAATGGCTGCCACATGCCAACCAACATTAAGAAACACATAAATGGGAACAGTGAAGTTAATTCTACAAGTTATGAGCTACAAACTTTGGTGTGGTAGTAGCTGAGACTGATCCTTAAGGCCTGCTCTGAGTGCAGACTACAGCTTGTCAATCATGCCAACTTTATTTATGAAGCACATTTAAAACAACAGCTGTTACCAAAGTGCTTAATAAAAGTCAATGGGAGTAATTGAATGGAATTAAAAAAATAAAAAATAATATTAGTACTGAAAATTAATTAAAAGCATCAAAAGAAAAACATAGAGCAATAAAATACTGAATTGAATCACACTGTGTTAAAAGCCAGAGAAAACATGTGTTTTTAGCAGAGATTTAAAAACAGGAAGTGAAGTGGCCTGTCTAATGTTGGGGGCAGATTGTTTCAAAGTTTAGGGCCCACAACTGAAAAAGCCTGATCGCCTCTGAGCTTCAGTCTTGTTTTTGGAACAACCAAAAGCAGCAGATGATCAGTAGCTCAGAGAGGTAACAGGGTTCAAGACCATTTAGGCAATTAAAGGTCAACAGGAGAATTTTAAAATCAATTCTGGTACGTACAGGGAGTCAGTGAAGGGAGGACAAAACTGGTGTAATGCGATCAAACCTACAACTTCCTGTTAAGAGCCGAGCTGCAGCATTTTGGACAAATGATGCAAAACGGAGACCTGACTGAACCCAGCATAGAGTGTGTTACAGTACAGTATAGTCCGTTGGGTGGTAATGAAGGCATGGACTATTTTTTCAAGGTCAGATCTAGACAGCACTGACTTAAGATTAGCTATCTGCCTTAACTTGTAGAAGCTTTTCTGCAGAACAGAGTTAATCTCTTTATTAAACTTAAAGTCAGAGTCTAAACACCATCCTGAGATTTGTAACAGACTGCTTAAGATATGGCTCAAGAAAGTCCAGGTTTACAGGAACAGAGACAAGACAACGGTAGAGCTAGGACTAAAAATAACTTAAGTGAGAAATTAAAAAATTTGAAACCGTTCAATTCAATTCTATTTATTTATATAGCGCCAATTCACAATAAAAGTTGTCTCTGGGCACTGTACAGAAACATCCACATACAGTACATAGAAAAGCCTATTAGTAAAGTTCTCTATCTAAGGAAGCCAGCAGACTTGTGTCTTGATGTCATCAAGACATTTTAACAGATGGTGAATGGAGCAAGAACAATTAGGTTTTAAGGGCAGATAAATCTGACAGTCATCAGCATAACATTGAAATGAAAGACCATGTTACCTCAGGACAGACCCCGAAGGGAGCAGACAGAGTGAAAACAAAAGGGGTCCGAGACTCAAGCCATGTGGGACCCCACAGGAAAGAGGCACTGAAGCAGATACATTATTTCCAACCTTAACACAGAAACTCCTTTTCACTCAGATAAGAACGGAATCCTTCTAATGCTGCAGCTGTAATCCATGTTCTAACCACGATCGAAGGATACTGTGGTCAACAGTATCAAAAGCATCAGTAAGGTCCAGGAGTACAAGTACCACAAACTGACCAGAGTGCTACATCTTGTGCTACATCTTAGTTTAAAATGAGGCCTTTAGGCCCTGTGATGGACTGGGGACATGTCCAGGCTGTCCCCCACCTGTCTCACAGTGACACGCTGGCTGGAGAGAAGTGCGTAAAGAAAATGGATGGAATTTAACGTAAGGACACGTTAACCATCGATATGAAGAAACAATAGTGCAGGTTTAGTTGTTTTTTTTTTTTTTCAAATTGTTTTTTTAAATTATTATTAAGTAACAAATAATTATTTTAGTAAATATATTTTTAAAAATCTCGTTATGCTACAAATTCAAGTGATTTGCATTCCTTCATTCTAAGTCTGTAATTTCAAATCACCTTTAAAAAGTTCCAACAATAATTTTCTTGTCAAAAAGCGTCATCTTTTCCAGTCTGTTTCCACTTCTCACTGGTTCTTCTTCTCTTCCAGGTTTCTGCCACCTGAGCCTGTCTTCGTCCCAGTTTCCTCGAGGTTTCAGGTTCGACAGTGACGACATGAACTTCCCCACCGAGCGGCTCTGCTTTCTGGGCCTGATCTCCATGATTGATCCGCCGCGTGCTGCTGTGCCTGACGCTGTGGGGAAATGCCGCTCTGCTGGCATCAAGGTAACCGGCTGCACAGTTTCAGCTGTCAGAGCTGTTCCTGAGAACCACTTATCCTGTGGCTTTGTTGTAGAGGAACATGCTGAATGTCTTTTATATCTTGGCACGGAGTCAAAAAGACAAGAGAATCACTTCAAGAGCCGAGGATGACCAGAAGATAAATAAATTAACTCGACGAGCTTTATCCAACAAATAAACGATTACATAAAAAGAAAGATATATTATTGTGGTTAAATCCATGTTTAATTTTATGACAAGTTCCATTATTGGATAAAAGTCAAAAATAACTTTAGGAAAAAGTTGTGACTTGTGAATTGACATGTTCTTAAAATACATTTTTATAATCACAAACTGGAAGTTAAAAATAGAAAATTAACACTTTCCGCAAAATTCTAGTATAAATACAGAACACCGAATAAATGAAAACAATGACATTTGCTTAATGAGGTGAAACAGCTGTTACAGCTTTTAGCTAGCCTTTAGCTAGCAAAAGGCTAGCTAAAAGTTAAAAGTAGCAGAAGTGTAGCTAAAAGTAGTAAAAGTCTAGCTAAAAGTTAAAAGTAGCAGAAGTGTAGCTGAAAGCTAAATGTAGCAAAAAAACTAGCTAAAAGTTAAAAGTAGCAGAAGTGTAGCTGAAAGCTAAAAGAAGCAAAAGTCTAGCTAAAAGTTAAAAGTAGCAGAAGTGTAACATAAGGCTAAATGTAGCAAATGTCTATCTAAACGTTAAAAGTAGAAGTGTAGCTAAAAGTAGCCAAAGTCTAGCTATAAGTTAAAAATAAGAGAAGTGTATCTAACTAAAAGTTAAAGCTAAAAGTTAAATGTAGCAAAAGTGTGGCTGAAAGCTAAATGTAGCAAAAGACTAGCTAAAAGTTAAAAGTAACAGAAGTGTAGCTAAAAGCTAAAAGTAGCAAAAGTCTAGCTAAAAATTAAAAGTAGCAGAAGTGTA